GAATTGAGGCTGATATGATACAACACCATATTACTTTATTATAAGATCAAGTTTGGTTTTAAAAACAAAGTGTATTTCCTTCCTTTTACATCTATTCTAAATTCTGTTGGTTTACCACATGGATAGCTAATAAAAGCTACTGTTTGCATCTGTTAGTGATAAATTTACAATTTAATATGTAACAGTTTAAGAAACAATCACTTAAAAATTTTCATTTGGTTGGAGTATGAAGCCTCCAATGACCTTTATAATGTGGCTTTATCACCAGTATAGAACTATTAAATGGGTATAGTTCTGTACAGGTTTGCTACCCTGCTAACAGCATAGTTCCAATGCTTGCTGACTCTGGTTGCAGATCCTTCACCAACACTTCAAAGCTGTCACCCTCATGATAACCTGATATCACATAAACCACACTGCCAGATCACCCAGATCATTGACATTGGGCGTTACTTGGCACATCTGTATAAATCAAAGCACCTACACACGCAGAATACTTTGCAAACATTTCTGAAAGAATGGGCCTCTCTGATAAAGATGTGTAATCTCATTGGAATGAGTTCCAGGACCGAATTAAAGATGCTTGGAAGCTAAAACAACAATCGTCATCCTGTGTTCAGTGAATGCTTTGCACTTTTAACAAAAATGGCTTCCGACCTTTAGCCCTCTTTCAAACCATCTGTTCTCTCTAACCAAAACTGAACATTTTGGTCATCAGAGGTGTGTTTTTGAGGTGTGAGTGGACAGGTCAATCTAGCCTAGAGCTGCTGGCTCTCCTGAGCTGCGGCATATGTTTGTGTAGTTGTTGTTTGGTTTCTATAATGTCTGGGTATGAGCGGTACTCACTGTACTGGGCTGCACAAAAGATGCTTTGTGTGGTTGTTAATTTAAAAAGCCAAGTCCAAAGAGTTTTTTTTTAAAGGCAGCTTTATCAAAGTACTAGTTCATCAAGTTTACTGGTTTAAATCAGACCAGCACTGGATTCCATAACAGTGGAGATGTGTACCCAGCAGGAAAAAAAAAATCTGGAAACTCAGTAAACAAGTCTGGGTTTGGATTTATCCAGAAGAATGCCACTTCTTTATTATATATGTGCTAAGGCAGGCTTGCAGCGACACAGTCTATGTGATTAGAACACTTTCTTCTAACACAACATATCATCATGCACTTGTTTGTGTTTTGCAAAACCCGCTCTGTTTTGTATCCTTTGACCTTGACACTCAAACCCTCTTGGACTTAAGTCAGACTTGCTGCTAATCCTGACAAATCTCATCAAAGCCAGTCATACTCTCTTGAATTATGGGAGCAACTCAAGAGGATGGAGGCAGAACAGAGATGTAGGACAATCTGAGATAGAAAAGCTTCTTTTTGGCCATGATTAGACAGCTAATCCAATAGTGACGAGATGCAGGCTGAGGGAGAACAAAAGAAGAGGATTGGGTGGAGAGCACGGAATAAGTCCGTATTTTTTGGACACTGGTTGGATTGAGGCTGAACTAACCATTCACAGGACTGTGGCTGAAGAGTGCTCAAGATGATGAGCTCCTTTTGAGCTGCAATCAACATGCAGCACTGTTTTGTGGGCCGATGAGTGTGCAGCATCAAACAGCTTCTCTCTTCTCTCAGCTTCTTTTCTCCTCATTTTTATCCCAGCATCCCCCCCCCCCCCCCCTCTTGTGCAACACACACACACACACACCCACCCCCTTCTGCCATCTCATTCTTCTTGCATTCAGCGGATGCCTAGCAGCTGCTGGTAATTAAAGGACTTTAGGAGGCTCAAACCACACTGGATTAAAATAGAACGGCGGAGAAAACTGAGATGCCAGTTCTTGGTCAGCTACCCTGAATTCTCACCTCTTCATCATCTCAAATCAAACTAATGTTCTTCCATGTTCCTAATTAGCTGCTTCACAATGCAGCAATCTAATAAAAATGCACACCCTAAAGAAAAAAGACATACAGGACACCACAAGGTTTGGATGAATAGAGGGTGAATATTGTGGATGGCAGCTGCAGGAGGGAAGAGGAGGGTGATCAAAGAGAGGGGCATTTATGTGTGGCAAGCCAACCATCTCTGGAGTGTCAGAGAGCTGATTCCAGAGGGAAGAGAGAGACCTAAATGGAAGCTGCACGAAACTGAAAGGGGATGAGATAAGCGGCGTAGCCTAAAACCTAGTGTTTCGCAGACGGGCTTGGAGGGAGATGCAAAAATTGAAGGAACTGGGAAGGACAGTTTTATAAAATCAACAATAGCTCTGTGTTGCTGTAGGGTGGGGGGTGAGCTGGGGGTAAAGGAATCAGCAGTCATCACAGCTGTGGATAGCAAACCACTGGGAAGAAATGTAATTTTGGGCGAGTGGGAGCTCTTCACCAGAAGGATGCAGCTGCTTTGTTTCTCCTTGGCAGCCTTTGACAGACATGTCCTTTTATTCTTTGTTTTATTGCACATTTATACAGCCTTTATGGTTATTAACACTTTCAAAACCCAATTGAAATATTTGTGCCACCAACTCAAAAAAAATAAAAAAATTGTCAGAAAATATTGCCAGAGAGATGATTGAGATGAGAAATGCCAGCCACTTCAAAATCTTTTCATGTAGTCGAACATCATATCCCATCAAAAGTAAACCAGAAAAAAAATAATTGCCTTAATTAAAGGCAAGTAGAAACTCTAATTTTGGTGAAAATTTGTAAAAAAAAAACAAAAAAAATGTTGGAACTCCTTAAGACATAGACTAAGGAATAAATAAAATATCTCCATTCAAAATAATTTTCTGTTAACAATATTAGCTATGGCATAAAATATACACTAATTGCTGATTATACATCAACATTACCAAAATGCAAAAATCTTGGACCACCGATCTAAGAGGGTGCCAAGGGTCCTTCAGAAACAAAGATTTGACAGTGTTTTCATTCTAAAGCTAGACATCTTTTGATACAAAGTGGTCTAAACAACTGTTTTAAGACCTTTATGTCACATGTGTGATAAGCTGCTACAGCTCTACAAGTACGTACCTAGATTGGAGAAGAGAACAAAAAGCATTGCAACCTAAACTGATTGCTTGAGATGTCTAAGTGTATGTTTCACTGTTCCTCCAAGGTATAAGGCTAAGTCGCATCACCGCTATGAGAACTCTGCAACTTATTGTGCAATTATGTTTGTTAAAAAAGTGTGATTGTTGTGTGGAGAAATATTCCCAAGACATCTTCACTCATCGGATTTAGCCATGTCAAACATGAAGAATATATGTTTAGATGTATATAATAACATTTCCAATTATAGCCTTTAATGAGTGTTTTTTCCACATTTCAAACATGTTAATGCCATTCAAGGTCTTCCAACCAGCTGCTGTTTTGATTAACGGTGACAGCTCTAGGTGCTTTATAAAGAACACAAGAAAACTGAATGTAAAGATTACATGGGTAGATTTAAAATATATTCTTCATATTAATTATATAATAAAAGCAATTAATTATTTAAAAGCTGAAAACTGAAAATTCAAGTTAATATTATGACAACAGCTGTTAGAGACATGGTTGTACTTTCAGATATCTATGGGTGCAACCATATGGAGCTCAGTGAAAGCTTCCTATTCTTCCAATAACTTTATTTCCTCCCTGCAGTAACTCTGCTGGAGCTGACAGGGGTCCTGCCACATTTGGTGCTGGGTCAGGATAGAGAATGGGAGATTAGGACTAGAGACAGGTGACACAAAGGTTCCTGTTATTGAGCGAACAGATGGCTGATCTAACGTAAATCAGGGTGCTGACCTTTTCTCCCCACAGTACAGTCCACACACGCTAACGTTGTACACAAAAAAACTGACCCCGCACACATTGCTTACACACACATTCAGCTTCCAACCCAGTTTGTTTGCTTGAAAACCTGCATACACATTAAACAGATGTTTCCCCATCATAGATGCAATTTCATAACCCATTCAGCATTTAGCATCAAGACCTTTTTTTTCCCCCACGCCATGGATTCTGATTCCAAGCGACTTGAATCACTCCCTACCCTTCCACACCTACACAAAAGCATGTGATTAACAACCCTGCATGGAGGGTTGTGTTGTGGTAAATGATCCCTGTGTGAAGGCGCGCAAGCTGCAGAGAATACAGAGCTTCAGTCAGCATCGCCTGTTCCTTGCAGGCACATGCTGAATTACCTTGTCGGCGGGCAATTATTTGTCCTGTCCCGGCTTCGGAGTGGTGTAAATTACTTTAAGTGCACTTTGCCAGGGCCGCCATCACGATAATGATAATTGCAGCGGCACTGTGACACGCAAATATACCTTCAAAAACTCCGTACTGGCAGGGGAGGGGCAGCTGAGCAACAAATTCAAGACAGGGCAGCTAAGATGTTCTCAGAAACAAAAAGGAGTGTAAGAGTGAGGTGTTGAATTTTACTTTCTATCTTTTTCTTTGTGTTTTCACCACATTGATTTAAAAAAAAAAGTAAAGAAATAAATTCATCACAAGATATTGTTTTAAATTAATTTCAATTAGGTTCTAGCCATGTCTTGTATCTTTGCATGTAAACCTAAAGTTGGACATCTTGCAGTGAGTGTTCAGCCCCAGCAGGTGTCACTCATGGCTATTATGCTTATTCTTAGAACAGAAGGTAAAACCCTCCAAACTTTCTCACTTTTCATTCTTGTATACATGACAAGTTGTAAAAGCAGAGATCTCTGTAAATCTTTCCATTATTTTTTTTATTAAAAAATGTCTAGTTCTAAATGGTATTACTTTCTTTTAAATATCAATCTTTCTCAAAGCAGGAGATAAACCGATATAGTAGCACCAGCTCTGCACCTCTGAGGGAGCAGCTGTCTCTTTCCAGGCAGGTGTTGTCTGATTTACTTAAGCTCCGTTAAAACTGAAATAAATGTTGAGACAAATAACCTTTGTGTTTTCTGTGAGGAAGAACACGGAAACACTTTTTTCAGAAGAGAATCTATGTATAAATATGATGGCTACTCATGGATACTTACATATTATGCAGGACACACCAGCCGCAGTGTGGGTCCCCAGAGCTCAGACACTCTCCACAGGTCCCGTACTGCTCACAGGACTCGATAGGAACCTGGGTAACCTGTGAACACAGCGAATTTTCATTGTAATGGGAGTTTTTGCTTTTCAGTGTAATGTACAAAAAAGATGTATTCATCTTTAATCATTATTGTGTGGAATAAAATACTGCCAGGCTTGATAAAAGTGTAGAAAAAGTCTACAAATGATACATATTTTTCAATATTTTAAAAAGAATACATGTAATAAGAGTGGGAAACAGTTCTTGTTGTGTTTTCAACAAATCCCCAATGATATAATGACTGACAACCCAAGCAATTTCTGAAAATATTTGGAATTTAAGCACCTATATCGGGAAATAAAAATGCAAAGACAGATTAAACTAATAACCCATGGGTTTCAGTTTGTTTTTTGTGGTACAGTTCTGATGCAGTCCAATTATTTTAGCCATACACAAAAGCAAAAAAAAAAAAAAAATGTAATTAATGGTTATCAATATTCTGGCACATAAAAATGTTATGCAGTGTGAAATGATATACTTTCTTGGATGAATGAGATGTCAACTGTTGTACATAACTTCAAAACATGGAAACAGCTGTAAGCAGCTGGGATCATTTGGCTGGAGAAGACAGTTTCTCTGCCATCAATGGGCGTCTGTCTGCCCCAGGGGCAACTGTCCACCTTGACAGAGTCTGTAGATATACGCCCACGCATGGACGGACGATGACAGATGCAGACACTTGATTAGAAGAAAGGAGCTAAAGCTCCTTCTTTCTTTTTTTTTTATCTCAAAAAGTGTAACTTGGCTACATAGAAGACAAACTGTCAACAGTAACAAATTTGAGGAGGGTCAGAGGAAGGAAATATACTCCGTGTTCAACCATAAACTGCCAATCTAATACAAACAGAACTATCAGTCTGCAGTTAAAGAGCAATAACCTCTGTGCTTGCCCTATTACTGTGCACAAAAATAAAGTTGTGAGTTTCAGCACAGTATGTGAAACAACAGGAAAAAAAAAAAAACATCAAGCACTCACAACCTCAGGTAGAAAAACAGTGTGAGTCAGCTGTGTGATCCACAGCCTATTTTCAGTGGCAACACACTGAGCTCTCATCTCCCAGTGAGTCCTTAGAAACATACAGTATACAGCGAAACTAGTGGATATATAAACTACTTTCATTGAAATTTGCAGCTGTTTCTTAGAAAAAGAAAGATATCATTAAATTACGTTTATCCTGTTTAAAATAATACATTTGAAGTAGAGTAACAATATATTGTTATAAAATGGGGAAATTCAGGCATGTTCAAAGTTTTGAACAGTGGAATAAAAACATCCTACTCAGATAAAAATCGATTGTTCATCTGATTATATGCTAAATTGAAATGTAAAAACTCTAATTGTTACAATTGTACATAGCAAAAACAAAAAATACAATGTAAAAGAAAAAAAATAAACAGCTATTGTGTCTGGAAGGAAAGATCTGTGATTACAATCCTTTGTACACCTAAGGTGCAGTGGTTCATCAATGCTCTGAAACTGATTAATGTGAGGAGTGGGAGAGATTGTGCAACAGAAATGTTATTCTCGTAAGAGTCCTTCTATCCACCACCACCTGAACAAGGAGGAGGGAGCATCCAGGACAGAGCTGTTCCTCCAGATGAGCTTATTGAACCACTTCTTCTCAGTTATAAATAAGCTGCTGCCCCAACAAACTACTCCACTGAGCAGGGTTCCTCAATTCAGCCTCTCAAGGTCCGGTGTCCTGTAAGATTTAGATGCATCTTCGCTTCTACAAATAAGCTGGTCATCAGCAGGAGTCTATAGGACTTGACTGCCTACTGAGGAGATCATTCAACCATATGATTCCAGTGTGTGGAAGCAGAGACACATGAGGATGACATTGAAGATGATACCACAAATGATGTACCAAGAAGCTATCTGATGACTAGAGGGTCAGCTTCACCATGAGTTTTTAGAGAAATCAGACCAAAGTGTACCCTAACAGCTCAAAACATCCTCTTCTTCACACCTGTGTTGTTGGAACAATGCAAAAGTTGCAGCCAACAGCAAAAACAACAACAACAAAACTATTCGGAAAACCCTAATATTCTCCAGCCTATATCAAAAGCTAAAACATTTTTTTTTTTTGGTTCCTTTGGCAGTCAACATGGCTTTCTTCGGAGAGCCGTGCATCCTTAAATGTTTATGTTACATGCATGGCATTAAGCACTGCCTCTATGACCCTGACTTAATGTGACAGGCAATTCACCAGTTCGCAAACAAGTAGAGAGGCAGCACCGATGCATGTGCTGTTACACAACTGTTAGTTAGACTGAGTACGTACATACAAGAAACAAAGCGCTGCAGAGCTGAGCAACCAAAAATAATAACACATTAACTGTGGCCGTCATCCATGTGAAATTTCAAATACCCTAAAAAACAGAGCTTTCAAAAAAGAGCTTTCAAAAATGGACATTGCACTGAAATTATAATGCAACCATTTGTGGCATTTACTTAATCATATTTTGTTACTTTATCCCAATTGTTTCATGTTAGCAGGGTAGGACATACAACTATTGTGTTAAAGTAACTAAATATGATTAAGTGCAACAGCTGCTGCATTTTTTTTTCTGTGTGTTTAAATGCTGGTTTCAGAAAATTTCCAGGACCTTTAATGTATTTTTTTTAAATTCACACACTTTCAAGGAATCTTTTATATAAGAGTCAAGTTTCAAGCTGGCACTTTGGTAAATACTAGCTGATTTTAAGCCTTAATTATTTAGATGGGGCAGGCTTTTTTTATTTTAAACTGGGCAACCTGACAATTACCTTATTAACCACAAAAATCCCCAAAACCTCTGAGCTGAACTGGGATAACATATACTGAGAGAGGTGTTTGTATTTAATCCTCCTTATCCTGACTATTAACTGTAGAACGCTATGAATCAAACATTGTTCTATGTTGACTACATTTATAGATCATGCAAGAAGGAAGTTTGCTTTTAGAATAATTAAAAAAAAAGATTTCTTTTCACTGCAAGTGTCAGTCTGGTTCAACAGCAAAGGTCTTAAGATGCTTGAGCATGCGTTGCGTGCATGCAAGTCCTTTAACTGTACTTACTATTGTACCTCCCCATGTCACCACTGGAGGCAGTACCCATATATATATATATATATATATATATATATATATATATATATATATATATATATATATATATATATATATATATATATATCATTCCCAATAAATGCACAGTAGATTAACAGATGAAGGGAACCTGAGTATAATGATATAAATAATAACAGATGTTGACAGCATGTGCGTTGTGTAGCTCCAGTCCTCAGATCAACACCTATTAGGAAGCTCTTCTATACAATGTGGGAATAAGAATGAAGGGTGCAAATAACACCCTTTAGGAGTTCTTCAAGGCTGTATGCTGTGCATACTGGGTGATATCAATTACCGTGGCAAAAGCCTGACTTCAAGTCCGACAAACATCTATTCTGAGATTGTCAAACCACAGAGATGTTTGTTATCAATCACCCCGCCAGGTTTGAATGATCAAAAACACTGATAAAAGTGTAAAAATTAGGTCTGAAAAGTAATGAGATACTGAACTTTTCAATAGCTGTGATCCTTTTTACACATTTAGAAGAATTCAAATTATGACATTTATTATGTCTTTAAAAGAAGACAGATTAATTTCCTTTGCATGGTCTTTAACATACCAAGCAATAAATAACAGTGAGTTGTCTAATATTAAGTGTCAAAGACCAACACTGTGAGAAAGTTATTCCTATTTATTAACTTTTAGAGTATTTTCTGGATCATGATAATGATTAGACTATTAGATTAGAATTATTTAGTGTTATATATTGTTATTAGTATTATATATTTGTATTATTGTATTAAGTCATTCTAAATTGACAAAAGAAGAAACATTCCCAGAGGTGTGAATACTTCTACCAGGTATTGTATGTAATGCAAAAACAGCAGAGAATAATTTTTTTTTTTTACACACAACCTGTTAAAAAGTCTCTAAAAGAATTTGATGACTGTTAGACCTGTCAGCTGAAACAAAAACCCCAGGAACTATAAGAGACCCAGTAAATATGGCATCTGGAATCATCCAAAAACTTCGACATCAGCCATCCACCTGTCCGCCTGCTTCCAAACCCTTGAAGCAACAGAGATGCAGTCCCAGGGGACAAAATAACCATTGACACCATGGGGATTCAGCAGTCCATGTGCACAGACTCCTGTTATATTAACCCCCTGTCATTTCAACAAACTCCATTTGTGTGCGTGTCTTCCCTTGCTTCGGGACAAACAGGTGGCACGCTGTAATGAGCTGCAGACGGGGGTCACATCAGCAGCAGAAGCCGCAACTGATGACAAACAAGCCCACCAAGAGCGAGACTCGAGTGAGTGAGGGAAACTGCAGCTCTGCATGCGTGGGCGTGCACAGCTCAAAGTCTCTGTTCTTAACCCAAAGAGAGAGAGCTCAGTCTTGTTTCAGCTTTAAAAACAGCATCTGTGGAGTTTCATTACCAACACCGTGAGGAAAGTCATCAGACAGTCATCAGATCTGTTCCGAAAGCATGAGTAAGATCCCTGAAACTTTACGGTAGAACTTTCACAGAGACCCAAGTCGGAGGAAAGGGTTACAGTGGGAAGACAGCTGTCAGGGAGTGGGGTGGGAGTCTTCATGGCCCTTATGGAGCTGTATGTAAACACAGACAGAGTAATCTAAGCTGGTACAGGGCAGACAAAAAGGAAAAGGGAACCACATGGAGGAAGAAAAATGCAGTAAAGAGGTGAATCCTGAAATAGGCAAAGCATATGGAAAAGAAAAAAAAAAAGGTGCGATAAATGTATTGTGTTTGTGTTTCCTTAACTTTTTTGATGTTTAGATTTAGCCTGGGTCAGAGGTGGAGATGAGGGGCACGGTTTGAGGAAGGGGATCGCAGCAGCTGTTGCCCAGCACACGCTACAGTCACTCATCACAGCAGGCCTGCACAATAAAGGCCCTTCTCCCACTGCGTGTGCATGTGTTTG